TTAGGGGACACGGAGAATTCAGAGTCAGTGAAGGCAGGGGAGGATCAGCACATACTGGCCTTGGGGTCTGGAAGGATGGCCAGGCATCAGTGGAAATGAAAAGAGCTTGGAGGAGAAGTCTTCAGATGACAGCTGTGGGTGGATTTCTCGGCCTTAGAGGTCGATGCTCTGAATTGAGTCTGAATATTGGAGAGGCACGAATGTGAGAAACTTGTGAAGGCCGTGGAGTGGGTGATGCCGGCTCCATAGACAAATGAATAGGGACCAGTGTTTCTAGTCTCTTCCCCAGACCGGGCCACCCAGCACATCCATCTGTCCAGGAAGGAGATCGGCTGGCACCACCACTAAAAGTGAAGGATCTGGGTAAAGCCCGACCCCAGTTCCTGGCTAGAACACCTCCCAGTCCAGTTTCCTCCCCCCTTGCCCCCTAGCACAATCCTCACAACAGGGCTCTCTGGTCCATCGATCTGCTCAGCCCCCATATCAGACACCTGCCTCCGTGGGCTTTTTCATTTCACACAGCAGGGCCGACCCAAGGGTGTTTTTTCCAGTGCTTTCCCCGGGCCAATTTTAGATTTTGCAATTAGGTCTCCTAGGAGATGCTCAGAGTTTGGGGGAATTTTATATTTTCATTTTGTTTTTGTGGGTTTTTTCTTTGCTTGTCCAGATATATATGCTCACCATGAGCCCCGTGTGGCCCGGTGGTCTGGCCTGCCTCTCAGTGACCCTTCCCTGCAGGGCCCCCTCAAGCTGCAGAGGACCTCTGCTGAGAGCTGTGGGGAAGGTAGTTGCTGACTGAGAGGCCAAGGGGTTCAGGCCATTCCAGCCCCGGCATTGCCAGGCCAGTCATTTCACGCCCCTAGCCATGGTGTCAGAAGAGAAGAGTGTCAGGCCTTAGGGATCCAGTGTAACCTCACATTTAAAACGAGGACAGTAGCAGAAGGCCTCATTACAAAACCGATGTCAATTTGTTTGGGGAAAGCTGGTTTCTACAAAAATATCACTCTTCTCACTCTTAGGGTGGGGCTCTACATACCCCAAGAGGAGGTCGGAGTGCTCTGCTGCCAGTGATGGCTCTAGAGGAAAATCCCTCCTCCTTCCTCCAGCTTTTGAGAATCTCAGGGATTTATAGTTGCAAAAGCCCAATCTGCCTGTCTTTACATGGTCTTCTTCATATGTCTCTCTCTGCAATCTTTCCTATCTCTTCTGAAGTTACTCTCATTGAATTTCAGTATGATCTCATCTTGGTCTTTGCCTTAATTACACTTGAGAGGCCCTTGTTCCAAATAATGTCACACTCTGAGGTTCCTGGTAGACAAGAATTTAAGACGGGGTACTCCTCAAGCTCCTACAGGACCTAGGTCCACACATCTAAATATCTCTAACCTCACTCAATTGAGCTCTACTTCCATTGAGCTTTAGATGGCAGTGAGCAATAAATTCCTTCAAACTAAGGCCTGGAATTAGCTTGCTGTGTGTCTGTAGAGGGATTTGTGGTAATACATTGGAAGTGCCCTACAATGAAGCTAAAGAAGGGTTAATTCTGACAGCCAGGTGTGGTGGCACACACCTGTAATCCCAGCACTTGGGAGGCTGAGGCAGGAGGATCGCTGTGAGTTCGAGACCAGCCTGGGCTACATAGCGAGTTCTAGGTCAGTCTTAACTACATAGTGAGACCCTGTCTCAAAAAAACCAAGAAAAAGAAACAAAGAAAAAAAGGAGAGTTAATTCTGGAAATGACAGCAAAGGCAAAGGAAATAGGCGTGCGAGTACCTATTTTGGGGACAGAGGTGCTTAACCTCAGAACAGTGTAATGTGTTTTCCAGTGGCTGTGACTTGAGATGAAAATATCTGTCTTGCATTCAGAACTGGATCATTGGCCTTCCATTTAGGAAACAGTAAATAATAAGGCCTCTACCAAGGAGTTTCGAATACTAAATTACATTCCCTTAACATAGCACAGAATGGCCTTGTCTCATCAAAAAAGCTACATCATGGGGGTCTGCTCTCTCCTGATGCTGTTTCTAAATTGAGCCTTTGTACCTTATATATCAAAGCTCTGTGAGATAAACTGTTTGATAAGATGAGATTGCTGTATTCCTATTTCATTTAGGTATAGTCCAGCTGCTATTTTATAACTATACAGAGAGCATGCCACTCACTCTATCGTTAGTTTATTTATTGACTGATTGCAGTACTAGAGGCTGAACCCAGGATCTTCTCACTGAGCTACGTTCCCATACCTATTTTATTTTTTACTTTAGTCTTGTTAAGCTGTAAATTGCCCCGGCTGGACTTGAATTTACAATCCTCCTGCCTCAGACTCACAGACTGCTAGAATTACAGGTGTGTGTCACCACCACAGCTACATACCCTCAGTTACCATGATGGTGGTGTGCTGGTAAATGGTTCACAGCCAACTCTCTGAAAAACAATATATGTACACATACACGCGCAAACATGAGTTTGTCATAAAATGTACTTATATGAAGGGTGACAACACAATTATGCCTGTGTTTGTACCGGCTCAACGCATATCCCTAGCCAACTTGTGGTTACTGCAGAATATAGTTCCAACATGAATGTTGGCCAATTCCCTTGAAGAAATGTGAAACAACAAAGCTGTAAGTCAGGTCACCAGTTGCTCATCAGCGATGATAATGACTTCACTGAATCAGAAGGAGGATTTTGAATACTGAACAGTATTTCTTCCCCTTTTGCATCGTACTATAATTTAAGGATCACAATCATGTCACAATTTAAAGCCTAATCTGCATCATTACATTTTTTCTAGCACTTTCCTATATCCAATCAACAGCACAATATATTAAAGCACTGATTTGTATCATCTACTAATTGCTGTGGGATTAACTTCCTCCAAGGCTGATTTCAAGGTCCCAACTTGATGTCATTGAGAAAAGAGGTGTGGGTAACTGCCATGATCTTAATTTTCATTATAGAGATGCAAGGGTCTCCAGTGATTTCAGGAGCACAGGTAATGGTGATATCATAAAATAATTAGGAAAAGTGAAATAAATAAGTCACACATGTATAAATACAAAAGTTTCTCTGGTGTGAAAAACTATAATAGTACATAAGATCCTAATGATATAATTGACAATGTGAAATAGGAAGAAAAGGGCCAAACGTGTAGGGAAAGTGGGAAGGGTAGGGGAAAGGTAATAAGGGAGAAGAAAAAAATATGAGAAAATGAAAAAATGGAAATAAAGTGTTTGTAAATGGGGAGGAGAGGAGGGGGTGAAGGGAGGGCAGGGACAAGGGAAAAAAATGAGAACCAAGACCACCTGTAATGTAAAGGTACAAGATCCCAATGATGAATATAACTGTGCTGTATACCTAAAGTGTACCAAAAAACTCAATAAGAGAGAAAAAAACAAAAATAAATAAATAAAATAATTAGGAAGAGGAGATTTTTGAAGTTTGATTCCCACTGTTTTAAGTATAAACAATTTAAATAAGTACTTTTTTTGAGACAGGGTCTCACTATGTAGTTGAGACTGACTTGGAACTCACTATGGAGCCCAGGCTGGTCTTCAAATCACAGCAATTCTCCTGCCTCAGCCTCCTGAGTGCTGAGACTAGAAACATGCACCACCATGCCCAGAAAAATAAGTACATATTTAAATATGTTTTATTGGAGTTCTATCACTGGTACAAATAAATAAATAGATAGATATGCTTTATTTAATTGTAAGTTTGTAAAATTTCAATGGCGGGAGTGGTAGTCAGGATTAAACCCAGAGCCTTTGCACTGAGGTATGTCCCCAGCCTTTTTATTTTGAGACAGGGCCTTGCTAATTCTCTAAGTTGCCCAGGTTGTTTTGAATTTGTAGTCCTCCTGCTTCAACCTCCCAGAGTGCTGGTACTACAGGTGTGTGCCACCGTGCCTGGCTGTGAAATTTGATCTTATATAAATCATATAATTTTACAATATCTGTGTCTGTCAATAAGCTCACTAGATTTTTGAAAATTTAACAATTGACTCTCGTTAGTTGATATGTGCTACGTGCAGCACATCGCTGCTTAGTTGGATATTGGGAGAAAGAGGCAGGGAAGGAATGAGGAAAAAGCCAGTGTGTCGCTTACTAGTTTTTTTCATCCCAAAGCCCTTGGGGAGGCCAACAGGAGAATGACTGCAACCTTTTAAAACAGTTGCTGAAAACACAGCCTGGACTTTCAAAGTGTTCCTATATTCCATTCTTATGGCAGGGTCTTTCTTCAGCCAATTCTAACCCCTCCTAAAGAAAAAGATAAGCAACCTAAGATAAAGGCGTCTCCTCAAAGCAGAGCCTAAGGCTTGCTCCGTTCCCAGTTGGGAAATCAGGTTTCTGCCAATGATCTGCACTTGCCCACCACCACGCCCCGCCCCCCTGGACTGTGGCCCTGGGACCTTACAGCACATAGAGATGTTCTCTGAAATTATGGAATAATTGCCCATCACTTCATCAAAATCCCATCATCCAAGTTCAGTTTTTGTTGTTTGTTTAAGTTTGTTGTTTGTTTTTTAGATGGGGTCTTACCACGTTGCCCAGGCTGGTCTTGACCAAGTTCAACTTTGAATGACCAAATGTGTGGGGTGATCTGACAAAAACCCCAGCAAGAACTGAGCAGAAAGGCTGAGACTCATTTCCTGAAAACATCTAAGGAAAGAAGGAGGGGAGAGATTTCTGCCCCAAAAGAGGGTTTGGTGGAGGTGACTGCGTTGCCCCTTTCCCGGCTCCCGTGGCCTAAGCGCCTGACTTGTACGCGCTTCTAGAGAAAAGCAAAGTGAATTACGGCCCGAATAGAGATGAGCAATCCTCAAGACACAGGAAGAAAAAGCCCCAGTGAGACAGGAAGCTGCTTCAGGAACCCGCTGGTTCCTGATGTGTGAACAAGACACACAGGCAGCGCTGCTGACACGGAGCTTGCTCCTGCCAGGGCACCTGTGAGTGGGGCTGGGTTCCACCGCAGACCCCTTGTCTTCTCCTCACTGGCTGATGGATCCCAAGGGGCTCCTCTCCCTAAGCCTCCTGCTGTTTCTGTCTGCAGCTTTTCATCTGAGTAACGCAACAGGTGAGTGTTTATCTGTTTTGAATGTCTGAGTCTTGCAATAAGCTGTCAGCACAGCCTAATGAATGAAGGAAAGATGCATGAGTTGGGGGCTGTGGTTTAGCTGTCTCTTCCTTAGGGACTATGTTTCTACTGCCTCTTTCAAAAAGGCAGGAATATTATGAGCTCCTGGGTCCTTGAGTTCCGAGTCCTAGTTTCTGAAGAAACCAGGAGTTCCACACAAAGGCACTTGTTATGTTGGTTGAGTTGTTGCTTGTGCTGTTGGTTTTGTGTGAGCATCCTGGCAGACTCAAGCTACCAGGGTTGAACTGGATGGATGGAGCTCTGGGAGAAGGTTTGTCCTACATTCTGGCCCTGGAAAGGAACCCTCTCACATACAAGTGGAAAAATCTGAAAGCAGTCTAAGGAAACTCAAGGCAACAGCAAGAAAAGAGAATAGAAGTGAAAACCCTAGGGCTTTGACAGAGAAGTGGCAGTGGCGACAGTGTGGTCATTTTGGTGCCTACTTTCTGGGGAAAGATTCCACCATGGGGGAGAAGTTGGGATTTCTGGAGCCCAAGGCTGGTTACAGAATGCAAAATCGGGAGTCTTCAGAGTCAAAGCAGCTCCAGCAGTAGGGGCTGACTGGCAGCGGAGAGATTCTGAAGCTGCGCTTTGCTCCTGTCTTTGTGGCTCTTCTTCCTTCCAAGGCAAGGTGTCGTTCTCTGTTTAGTAGTAGCAGACCCATGAGCAAAGGTATTTGAAACAGACAAAGCCAAACAAGACACGGACCCCGGGATGACTGGGGGAGCAAAGAGAAGCTGGCTCTGGTCATGCATCTTGGGACTTTGGGCAGATGCTGGGAGGCAGTGGAAGCGGCTTTAGGGAAGGGGGGAAATCCTGAAGCCAAGGGTGTTTTAGGCTTGGAGTTTTCAAGATGGCAAATCCATTATGGACTTTTCCAGGAAAAGCCCCGGGATATGCCAGAGACATGGTATCTTCTCATGGCATCTCTCTCTTTCCAGAATCTCAGTTGTAGAGACATTTGCTGAGCCTCTTTCCCTTTGGAATCAGCAGACTTCTGGCCCTTACCTCCTGAGTCTAGGAGTCAGAGGACTGAGCTCAGAGCTCAGAAGAGGGAGCCAGGGAGAGCCTATCCTTGCTTGTTGAACCTCACTTGGAACGCCGCCATTGCCAGTGTAACTTCTTGGTTACTGTAAGGAGTGGTGAGACTGAATTCTGTGCTGGATAATCCTGTCACTGGACTTGCTTGTTGCTGTCAGCTGAGGCCCAGGTGACAGCTGCTCTACATAAGGCTTTGGTGGCCACTTGTTAGTGAGGAGCAGCCCAGCCCCCAGAAGGAAGGTCTACCCAACTGGCAGCCGCTCCCTTCCTTGCAATCCAGCTTCCAAAACATGTTCAAAAATGTTTAGCATTTTTATTTTTAAACACACAATTTCATCCTCTTCTAAGCAAATTTTTATTTTTAGTGCCTATGTTTAAATATGCAATTTCATCCTTCTAATGCAAATTTTCATTTTTACTTTTAAACACGCAATTTCACCCTTCATGAAACCCCAATAAAACCCAGACAGAAATGCTTTGTAAATGGGATACTCAGTCATGGCCTGTTTACCTAACCAAGAAGCTCAATTCTTGTAAAAGGGGTACCCACTCCCCTTTCTTCCTATCTCTACTTACCTCAATTTCCAATTCCCTCTCAGAATTGTAAAACTCAAAAAGCCCACCTGTCCCTTCCCCCAACAAAGTGAATTTCCCATTGCCCCAGTGAGACTTTTTATTCCTCCTTACAAGTCCTCCCCACCCACTTGACACTCAGGAGGTGAGAGGGGAGGGACACGTTCTAGGCTGACTCAACCTTGTGTGCCTGTAGCCTGTTCCATCTCAAGACGTTGATCAAGGCCCTTCCATTTCCCAAAAGGTTTAATTCTGTGGTGTGAGGCCCTCACCTTCCCTGTCCCCAGCATTGGAATGAAAATCAGAACATCAGGGCCATGTGGTTTTACCCATAGATTGACTTTGGACAGTTCCACTCAGTAACAGTCTAGTAAGGACACATGATGCCACTCAAGGCACCTGTGCCAGGGGTAAAGAAGGCAAAGTGAATGGCCACAGAAAATGCTCAGCTTCTGACACATTGTCTGGGAGATGAGATCCCGTCTCTAAATGTTTGTTGAATGAATAATAGTAGTGTGTAGTATGCACATGCTATATACCAGGCACTGTTCTAAGTGCTTTATGTATATCAGTCATTTAATTATTAATAACACACCAACCCTGTGTGTTATTGTTACAATTACAACTTTATAAATAAAAGAGACATGGAGTAGTTTAGTAGTTTTCCTGTGCTGGTGTAGGTTGACCCCAGAAATCTCAGTTTGGGTAGTAGGAGGAATGCTAGAATTAGTATCTAGGTTCCATGCTAAAAATTAGAATATACCACATATAATTGAAGCATATGAGTTGAGCTGCATGGAAAATAATTAAAGTACAGAAAATTTCCAAAAGTGAGAAGCATTGCTGGAATCAGGAGAAAGTACAAGGCATGGGTCAGGGATTTAGCTCAGTGGTTCCACCGCTTGCCTCACAAGAGCCAGGTCCCAAGTTCAATTCCCAGTACCCGCTCGCCCTCTCCCTCCCCCCAAAAAAAAGAAAAAAGGAAAAGAAAGTACAAGGCATGTAAGTAGTATTCTACCTGAAGTTCAGAAAGTGGACAGAAACTTTTTTCATCATATCAGTTTTCATTTAACTTTCGTGAACTCTTTTGCTGGCAGAGTGTCCCATGTACAGAGTGAAGACTAACTTCCCTTGCACATCTCTTGCTGAAAGTGGCCACGAGTTTCTTGTATGCATTTCAGACACTTGAGTGAGGTGGCTTGGATTTTTATGGGACTGGAAGAAGAGTATTTTAGATGGAAGTTCAATGTGTTGCCTGTGCTTGTGGGAAAGGCAACCTAAAACCCAAGGTTCATAGCTAGCTCCTCACCTAACAAGTGGGACAGGAGTCCCGTTATTTCTCCCATACTAAACCTGTTAGGGATGTGATAAAGATAAGGCAGAGTATATTCAGATTGTGGGGAAAGGAAAACTTCAACTCTTTGTAGTCATTCAGCACATTTCATTTTATTCATTTACGTGGGGGGGGGAAAAAAGAATTTCCTGAGCTTCTGCTGTGCCACAGGTGATGAGATGTTGGGAATGCCACAGTGGATAAAACAGGCACCATCCCTACACTTGGGCGTTCTTCATTGAATGGGAGGGCAGGCACTGATCCAATTAAAAATGTGAAAAGTGGCATCAAGGAGTGATGCAAACTATGTCTGCAGTGTGTGTTGGAAAATCTGACCAAAGCTAGGAACCAGGCCAGCCTCCCCTCAGGAGGAGATGTTGGTCTCCCTTGGAGACTGGCAGGCAGCACCTACATTTAGTCTAAGGTGGACAGATTACCCCATGTAGCAGCATTAAGAAATAGGAATGGGTGCTTGACTGATGGATGTGTTAGAAAAACTGTCTTAGACAATTTATCTTTTCTTCCTGCCTTAAATTTACCATAAGAACTGTGGGGCCAATGATTTTTATCTCTTCCCTAACTGAAAAATTACCATAGCATGATGCTGAAGACACATGCGAAATAACAGTGTTAAGCCCTAAAACAGAAAAAGAATTATCATTAGGTAGAATCCCGTCTTGTGAAAGGGTTTGCTAAATCCTACAAATTTCAGACCATCAGCCATGGTTCTAGGTGAATCACTCTTCTTTTGAAGTAGAATTACCCATTTACCCGTGAAGGAAAGTGAGTTGGTGTTAAAAGTTCTAAATGTTTCCTCCCAGACTTTTGGTAAACAGGGTTGACTGAATCACAGACACACTGGAAAACATTCATCAGGGAGTAGGATGTTTCAGGAGCAGGGACTCCACTTGAAGTGTTTTATGAATCACTTTAAAGCCCCACTAGTTTTCCACTTGTGCTTGCGTGGGAATGATCTCAGGTATATCCTCTGGAGCAAGCCGTTCACCAGCACAGGAATTGAATCATCGTCCTTGATGTGGGTAGTGAGGTGTTCAGGGCTCTGCATGGTGACGCTGGGATTACACTGCACACTCGGGTAACCCACTCAGCCTCACCTTCTCATCTGACCCTTCCCTTTTCCTTTTCCCCTCCTATTCTCTTTCATTCATTGTGGTTTTTACTTTTGCTTTTTGGATACTTGCTATTTCATGCTATATCCACTCTCTTCTTCCTACAAACTTCGGGTTTGGGAAGCAGTTGTGGTCTAAATGGTCTTCAGGGTTAGATGAAGGAAGGGGCATGTGGGACTAGAGGGTTATGGTCTTAAAGTGGGAATAATTTCCACTGCTTTTTTTCTCTGTACAAAAATTGATCTTAAAAAAACAGCAGTTTTGTGGTGATTCTAAATTAGTTTTAAATCTCAGATCCCTTTGAGAGATAACGTTTTCAGAAGTGCTCCCAGAAAATGTACATATGCTTATCAACACATCTTTTAGAATTCAAGTTCAGGTAGTTCATTCTTGCATGTAGGGCTTTCAATTTTCTCTTATTCCCTTACAAATAGAAGTTTAGGTTCAGGACTCAAAATCTCTCTCTCTCTCTCTCTCTCTCTCTCTCTCTCTCTGTCTCTCTCTCTCTCTCTCTCTCCCTCCCTCCCTGTTTCATTCCTTCTGTTCTACAACTCAAATATGTAACCACCTAAGAAGTCACATTATCTGGACACTTGGGCATTCCTAAGTATGGCTGGATGAAAGTCCAATGCATATCCCACTGTATCTATGTAAAAACAACAACCCAAAAACTCTGATTAAAAATAACATCCCTCATCTCATCAAGCAAGGGGGTGAGCACTCTATTTTAAGGTTTAATATATTAGTAATAGTCAAAAGAACAAATATCTAATCACCTTTTGCAATTTTCTGTAACAATTATGCATATCAACCACCCTGATTCTGATTTTAGCCTAAGAATGGCCTTTTCTCTTTTCACGATGGCTGATCTCCAGTTAATATTAGTTGGGTGCTTTACAGGACAGTATGGGGATTTTGGAGCATTTTGGTATTGAGAACATTTTGGTCAGCTTGCCCAATTTTCCAACCACATCTTAACCATCATTGACTGTAGTGGGGTCTCTTCTAGGTAGATACATTACTGAAACAGACAGTTCTATTTTACTCTTCTGACTTTCTTATCAACAGAGCAATCTATGCGCCCTCTGAGTCATGGGCTCCTTTTATGAATACTAGCTGATGCTTAAATTCAGTTATATACAAGTTAGGCAAAGCCAAATAAGAGATTGGTCAGGTAATATGGTCTTCAGCATTCATAAATGGAAAAATGTTTATTAAAAACCTCCTAAGCACCAAGCACTGTTGTAAGTCCTGAGGCCAAAATGGTAATTGAGAGAATGTTCTCCTTCTGGAAGGAATTGTAGAAGAAATAAAAATAGAAGTAAAATATGTGCACTATAGTATCAGGCAGTGATGAGAGCAGGAGGGTGCCTTTTAGATACATGGTCAGAGGTCTCTCCATGGAGATAAGTTTTTATCAGAGCCCTAAAATAAAGCAAAGGCATGAGCTATCCAGGCAGACAAGAGAGGAAAGGTTCCAGGGAGGGAAGCTACAGATGTGAACACTCTGAGATAAAAGAATTCTTGGCAAGTTTAACGAAGAGCCCGGTGTAAGAAGGGCTGGGATCAGGTAAGCACAGCACAGAGGGCAGGGAACAGAATTGGAGAGGTACCAGGGAGTAGAAACGCAGTATCTTTGAAGCTGCATCAGTCAAAGACTGTGAACTGTTTGTCGTGAGTGTCAGAAAGGCCTAAAAGCAGGAGAGAGCTGAAATTAGACCCAGTTTCAAAGGATCACCTTGTCCACCCACTGCACAGATGCTGAGAGATGAGCTGGAGGACAATGCAGTGCCCAGGCCCGTGAGATAGGAGTGACGGCGTGGATTGCTCGGACTCAGGCTCATTTTGAAGTTACAGCTAACCGGGGTCTCTGTTGGACTGAATATAGAATATGAGAGAAAGAAAGGAGTCAAAGAGAATTCCAATGTCTTGCCCTGAGAAACGGGGTGAATTGTAATGTTTGCAGAAGTGACTGTGGACTCAAGTATTCATTTGCTAGGTTTGAGATGACTTTTGACCTCCAAATACTGATCCATGTAGGCAGTTGAGAGTACAGAGTAGAGTTTGGCTGGGAGATAAAACTTGAAGTATTGCAGAAATACATCAAACTGTATAGCTGAATGAGAAATTGGATGAGTATAGACGAGGAAGAGAAAAAGTCTGAGAGCTGAGCCCTGAGATATTCCAATATTGAGAGATCTGGAAGAGCAGACGTTTCCCACCAGGGAAACTGAAAAGGGTAAGACAAGAAAGCAGAAAGTCAAGAGAGTGCGGTCTTCCAGGACCAAATGAAGACAGTTTCAAAGAGTGAGTGGTGAACTCTGCCAAGTGGTCTGACACACACGACAAGAATGGAGAAGTGATTTGGTCTTGTGGAGCAGATGGTGACCCTGACCAAAGTGGTTGTAGGAACGAGCAGGGAAGAATGCCTGTTTGGAATGAGTACAGGGTCAGGAAGGAATAAACAGCATAAACATCTAACAAAGGACCTTCCATAAAGGAAAACAGAGAAATGGGGTCGTAGCTAGGTAGGTACCTGGGACTGGGTCAGGGATTTTCAAGGTGAGAGCAATTATGTTTGTATGCTGTACATTGTTGGAAATAGCCCAAAAGACAGCTGATAATGCACGCGGTGGGTCAGTTGCAGGAGCAAACGCTTCAAGTAGTTGAGTGCGTCATGAAGAAAAAGGCCAGCCTGCGATGGGCCATCCATCTGGTTAGGTGGGTTGATCTCGGGCGGTAACAAATAGTTCTTTTTCTTTTTCTTCTAATTTTTTAAACTGAAACAAAAAACACAGAGATCAGTTAAGGAGGGAGAAAGGCAGGTTGTGGGTTTGAGCGGAGAGGAGGTGTTAAATAATCAGCAGTAGGATTCCTTACAGCGGTTTAAAGGTTTTTGGTTTGGATCTTTTGTTGTTATTGATGTTTTTGCTTTTTGCGAAGTGTATGTCTGTGTCTGTGTGTGTTCCTTACTCAGCTCTTTTTGAAAAAGAGAAATAAAATACAATTGCAACTTAAACATTATTGATTTTTGTCCAGGAGTTTTTGGACAGCCAGGTTTCTGGTTCAAACACTGGATTCACCATCTCCCCAGCTCCACATCCCTCACACTTTTCTGTTTTTCTCCTCACCAGATATGATGCTTCTGTAACTGTGCTCCTCTCAGGACATGAGCTCAAAGTCATTTTCAGTTGCTCTCTGTCCTTTGTCCTATATTCCCATGGTGGCAACAGCCATGATAGAGGAATTAATAGACCTAGACTCTAGTCCTGACTCTGCTACTTACCGGTGTGACTTTCGAGAAGTCATTTACCTTATAGGTGCCTTATAGGCCTTACTGTAAATCTGAGTTAAAAGACACTCAGTGTGCTAGTGACAGCTCTTAAGTAATTTTAAGATTTCCACTGGGAAATTTTGAATATTAAGGATATAATAGGGACCCTCATGGTAGTGCTCACAGACCACAAAGTACCTGGCAATCCCAGGGATAGTAACAAGAGGAGAGTGAGAGCCTTAGATTGCTATTCCTGATCCACTGCACGACGTGACTCCCAAGATCATCATCATAAGGGACTCTCTTCTCTTCCCTCCCACAGGTGGAAGCCAGAAGAACTGCCCAGTGTCTGTCCAGCAGCTGGGAAGGAATGTGCTGCTGCCTCTGACAGATGAACAGATAAACAAGAGCATGAACAAAAGCAACCGCATCCTTGTCATGATATCAAAATCACCAGAAGACTCCGTCAAGAGGAAAATAATGTCTCTCAGTCTACGGGAAAGGAGCTCATCAGATTACGTAGAGCGTGGCTATCAGTTTCATCTGGAAAACCTAAGCTTGGGGATCCTAGGAAGCAGGAAGGAGCACGAGGGATGGTACTCTATGAACCTGGAGGAAAACGTACAAATCCACTCATTTTGTGTGCAGCTGAAGCTTTATGGTAATAATGGGAGCTTCCCCACCCCACCCTGGAGAGCCACGATGTTCTCTAGTCAGAATTTAGGCCTCCCTCAGAAGCTATGGATATTCAGGGCCGGGGATTTAGCTCAGCGGTTCGGTGGCCTGCTTTGCAAGTGCAAGGACCTGAGTTCGATCCCCGGTACCAGAAAAAAAAAAAAGAAGCTATGGATATTTAAAATTGGAAGCAACTTGAAGCATCATCAACTCCAAGGAGTTATTTTTTTTCCTCATTGAGTTTATTGGTACTTTTTGAGTATACGGTACAGTTACATTTGTCATTGGGATCTTGTACCTTTACATGGAGAATTTAAACTGTGCTTTATGGAAATTGTTTGAGGGGTTGACATTGTTTCCCCTCCAAATTGCACATTTAGCTGATTAGCATTAGCTGACCTTACCTCTTTCCGAAAGAAGGGGCACAGCTACGTGTGGGCTGGAGGGCCTCAAGCACCAGCAGTCTTGGTTTGCAAATAAGATTTTATTTGGGAAAAATAAAGGGTTTCCTGATTTTTTAAATGTTTGAATACCACTGATCAAACCCAATCTCTTTTATAGATGAGGACACTGAAATTCAGAGAGAGGTGGTTTGCACATGCTTACACAGGTCTGTGTAGGAGACTCACTATACTAGGGGTTCTGGGTCAAGAGAGCTGAAATTCCACCTACACATTACTCGCCAAGCCCTGAAGCCTGGCCTCAGATCCCTCCTACGTAGTGGAAGAAGAGCTCTTTTTCTCACTTAAAGGAAGCTTCCAGTTACAAAGTACTTTAACTAGAACCTAGGTACACCTGGACCCAAGAAAAGGGTTTTTTGGAAGCTCTTTAACTGCTGGCCCATCTTGAGTGCCCCAAAAGTTTGTTTCTCCAGGGCCTAGAGGTTCACCTGAATTTCCAGGAATCCTCACCCACATGGGGCTTTCCTGCTTCTTCAAAGTAACTTCCTCATCTCTGAGGACAGGACAGGGAGCCCCACCTACATTTCTTTGAAATCCTCCTGTATCTAGAGGAGGGACAGCAATGCCTTCCCTTGCCCCAGCATTCTCTTTTGTGCAAAAAGGGTGTGCAGAATTCCCACAGCCCTCTATCAGGTCACTGCAAGAGTGATCCAGGAGCAAAGTTTCCTTGAGCATGGAAGCTACATATTTTGCAAAGCGATGTGCAGGTCATATATTCTGTCTTTTTGTGCTTATAAAATGTGATCTGTGCAAGCATGGCTTTCTTTTCAAGTCAAAGCAAGACGGTGGAATTTGGAGTAAGGCAGACTGACATCCTCCACTCACCTTTGCCATTTAGAAGCTGTGTGATATTACGTAAGACTTCCTGTTTCTCCAGGACTCAGTTTCCTCATCCATAAAATGGGAATGATTATCACTACAGTTATAACTCTCAGGGGTTAAAGAAGAGAATGGACATAAAGCTCCAGTACTGTGCTTGTCCTATACTAGTTGTAAATACACAAGACTTTCCCCTTGCCTATTTCATGGTGTGAGAGTTGGGTAGATTGACAGAGCCTCTGGCTATGACTGAGAACCTCTCCCTACCTTAGATACACAAAAACACTCCCCGCATCTCACATCTCATTGGCAGAGGGGGAGTACAAGCAAATCCATCTTCCCTGTTCTACCTCCGTGTAGTCCTGGAAAGGAGACAGTGGGAGTGAACGATGTTGTGACACAAGAATTCCCCGCAGAGATAACTCACGCTGAAGCCCCTCGGGAAAGAAGGCTGTGTAGTTTTGACATAAAGGTCAGTGAGAATTCCAGAGGGGTTCATTTCAGTGATGGCTCCCTCCCTCCTCTTCCTCCTGACAGAGCAGGTCTCCACTCCAGAAATTCAAGTGCTAAACAGGACCCAGGAGAGCCACAATGGGACCTGCAGCTTGACGATAGCCTGCACGGTGCAGCAGGGGGACCACGTGGCTTACAACTGGAGCGAGGAGGGGGGCACCCACCTGCCCAGCCCAGCCAACAGCTCCCACCTGCTCTTCCTCACCCTTGGCCCCCAGCATGCTGACAATTTCTACATCTGCACTGCGAGCAACCCTGTCAGCAGCCGCTCCCAGGCCTTCAATCTGTGGAGCAGGTGCAGTTCGGATCCCGCAGCAGGTGAGTGCCCTGGTGGCAGCTAGGTTGCTGCACAGAGAGGTTGATGGCTCCGTCCCTAACTAGGCCAGTTGCTCTGCTTCCTCAGCCAAAGCCTTTGCCCTGACAGTGCTTTAGATTTTCTTTGTGGTTTGCAAAAGCCCTTCATGTGCTCCGGGAGCTCACTGTCATGCTGGTCATGGCAGAATTATTATGCTTAATTCCCTGGTGAGGAAACCAAAAGGAAAAGATGAACCCAGAACTCCCATCTCCAAGGTGTGGCCCTTCCTCTCCTCCTCCCACCTTGGATCTGGACTGAAGGGATGGCTGGGTGAGAGATGCAGGAAGCGGGTCCTAACTCCCACGGGTGGGGCCGTTCTACGCCATCAATCAGTGTTTATTGATCACCTGTGCTGTAGGAAATTGGGAGGCTCGAACTCTGGACCTTGCACTTGTGAGGCAGGCAGCAGAACCACTGAGCTGAACCCCTGGCCCTCCATCTCTGCTCTTTAAACACGCACTCAATATTGAAAGCTAAGAATGAGAGACTGTGTTTTATGGCATGAAGAATAAATCTCATAGCAGGTCAGAGGGCCAGGGGAGTCAAAGAGAGGAGAGACTAAGATCCGGCCTGAAAGTTGGAGAAGAATGGTAAACTGTATAGCACTTTATTACTGGCAAAGTGCTCTTAACCGTATAATCTCTTTTGATTCTCACAATAACCTTGCCGGGTGTTATCATCAGCCTCTCTTGACACATGAAGGATTTGAAGGTCATGGCGCATAAGTACCTTTCTCGAGTTCCTTCATCTTTTAAATAGTGGTGTCGGCGCCTACACCTAGGTCTTTTGAGTACATTTTTGTCTTTTGCTAGTAATAAGTTATTCTCACTCTATTGGAAGACAGCATGATTAAATAAGCCCATCTAAGCACTCAGGAACAAGGTAAAACATTGCCTCCTTTTCAGCAAAGGTCCTGTGTCCCTGGCCAACGTGCTGTCCCTGCAAGTCATTGCTTGTGCCCTGACAGTTCCTTCTCTGCATCACTGGGCAGGGAATGAATCATACTAGACTTGGTGTCTGTAAGAAAGCTTTTCCTGGATAGCCAGCGATGAAGAAAGGGGGATTCTAGCTAGGGTAGGCCCTCAGCATTACCGCTCCTGTGCCAGAGGCTTCCCTGAAATATTCACAGATGGACTCCTGGGGAAATAACCCACGCCACTATTCAGTATGCACTGAGGCACTGAGAGGTCATTGGTGAACCAAATGCAACAGCCTCTCCCAGCCATTTCCTGGCAAGAGTCAGCCATCCACCCGCCTACTCCATGTTTCTGGCTGCTTGCCCACCTTGCACGTAAACCTCAGTCAGAGGCCATCCTCCCATCCACATCTCTCTCCCTGCCCACAGCTATTCAGACCACACTGCAAGACCAAGAAAATAGTGCTGTACAGTGGGAACTTTACAGAATGTAAAGAGAAAGCCTAGATCCAGTGTTGCCCTTCCTACTCACAAGGGTAAATCATTCCACCTTTCTGAGACCTACATTCTTCATCTATGAATAATAATGGCTAGCAGGTCTTAAATATTTACTGTGTGCCAGTTATTTGGCCTCTCATTCAGTCCTCATCACAACCAAAGAATGTGATATGATTACTATCTGCATTTTACAGAGAGGAAATAAAACTATAAAACGGGCAAATGAGATCACACACAGAACGAGGTGTGGAGCTGGAATGTCTGAATCTTCATAGTTATTCGTGGAAGAAAGAATACATTTAAGATGCCTTATAGTAGCTGAGAGTGAAAGCACGTGTCTGTAGTCCCAGCTATTTGGGAGACTGAGGCAAGAGGATCACTCGAGCCCATAAGTGCAAGACCAACCTGGGTAACAGAGTGAGACCTCATCTCAAAAAAAGAAAAAAAAAAAAAGGTCCACCCCGTGTGATGGCTCATGGCTGTAATCCCAACACTAGGGAGTCAGAGGCAGGGGGATTGCTGCAAATTCAAGGCCAGCCTGAGCTACATAATGAGTTGAGGGCCAGCCTGAACTATAAAGTGAGACCCTGTTAAAAAAAAAAAGCCTTATAAATCACAGAAATGGTAGTTTTATCCCGCTTTTCATATTCTCTTCTTTTTTCCCTTCCTTCCCTCCTTTTTTTTTGAGACAGGATCTCACTATATAGTCCAAGCCGGCCTAAAACTGCAGTCCTTCTGCCTTGTTTTAACTTGTAAAGCCCCAACATCCAGACCTGATCTCCATCCCATTCTAAGGACTTCAACATGTGAATTTTAAGGCAACACAGTTGAACTCATAAGATAAATAGAAATCTCCCACCTCCACAGATGGGGGATCATCCCACATCCAAACCAGACCACACAGCTGGTTCGTAACATGCCCTTCTTACTACACCAAGCTAACTAAACACTTTTATTAACACATCGATCTGTGTTTGCAAATTAACACTACTGTAAAAAAACTATGCTCAGCTGGGGATTTAGCTCAGCGGTTTGCGAGCGCAAGGACTGGAGTTCGATCCCCGGTACCAAAAACTACGCTCAGTTAGAAAAAATATCCATTGGGGGGTCTACTGTGTTCCAACGTTATGCTAGGTGTTGAAGATACAAAGATTAAAAAGAAAAGAAGAGCCTTGTCTTTAAGGAAGGAGATAGTTCTACTAATAAATAATTGTCCTAGATTGCATTCTGTGATAGGGGCAGACAGAAGGATGTGCAAAATAACAAAGGGCAAGGAATGACAGAGCCTCACAGAGGATTTCAACTGGGTTTTGGAGGATAAATAGAAATTGCCCAAGCTGACAAAAGATTAGTCGAGAGCTGGCTCTTATTCTGTATTATCCCATAGGTGATAGAAACTAATAGAGATTTAGGCAGGAAAATAGCACCACCAGTTCTGCACTTTGAAGAGAAAACTCAGTGGTCTAGTGAACAGACCTGGGGAGGGAAGAGAAGAAAGAGAAATTGGTCAAGGAGGAGCCTCGCTGAGGCCTGGGCCAACGCAGTGACTATTAGCTTTAACAAAGACTTTTTTTCACCCTGTATACAAAGGGAAATCCCAGCTTTGAGATGAAATGGCAGAGTCTGAGAGTTTATTAGAGGTCGCCATCTAAGAACTCAGAGCAGTGATTTTAAGACATTTCTGACTTTCATTAATAAAGAACGCAAAGTTGTTAATGGTGCAATGAGACCAGTTAAACTGACCCGTGAAACAAGTTACTTGTACTTTGGGGGAAATTATTTTAAATGATATTTTTCCAGACTCTCCGTCATACATTCATCTTTGTTTCTTATTCCTATGGCTATGATATTGTTTTAATGTCTATCACAATAAAGCATCTTAATTGCAAAGTCTAAATTGTTAGGTGCTATAAAATCCTGTCACAGTCATGTGAAGTGTGTTGGTGTGGACAGTGTATGATTTGTTGCTGTTCTTAATGACCATGTTTTGCAATATAGTCATGTCTGTGCTAGGATGGTTGATGGAATCCCTTAAATAATTTAACTAAAAAGGAAAGTCCCTGAAGCTCACCTTGAAAGGGAGCCCCTTTTCAGAAGATTAGCAAAAAGCTGTCTGAGTAAGTCTGAGTTAGCTCAGTGAACAAAAGGGCTGACCCTTGCCAATGAGCACCAGAGAGTACCCTTTTACTAATGAAGACATTCCCTACAACAAGGACCTCCTGTGTCCCCTAGATGTTCCATTCCAAGGGCCCAGTCCCTCTCCATGACCTTCCCAATCCAGCAAGCCTGATGATAAAGGTGGACAGAAGGAACCTAGGTACTTCTCATGGGCTAAAGCTTGGCTACCTGGCCACACTTGCTACAGAGGAAGCTGAGAAGTGTAGTCCTTAGCTGAGTAGCTGTATAGCTGGACAAAACTTGTATTACTGTGAAAATAAAAATAGAATAAATGGTCCTAGGAGCCTCAATACAATCTGGGTGGATAGGCAGGTGGAAAGGGATTATTCCGGAAGCTGTGAATTCTCTTCTTTAATTGTATTTTGAGACAGTATCTCACTAAGTTGCTCAGGCTACCCTCAAACTTGTGATTCTCCTGCCTCAGCCTCCTAAGTAGCTGGGGTTATAGGTGTGAGCCACCAACTCAGATGGAAATGACGGATTCTATAAAATGTTTACCTGGATGGTCTTGGTCCTTAAATTATTATGTAGTTTGTAAGCATTCTTTCTCCACCCCCAATTCTGAGTGGAAACTTCCACCAATAAGATGGTATCTCTTGAAGATAGTTGGCTTCTTCAAGGAGACATGCTCCATACCTGCAGCCTTGCTGACAGAACCACATGAAAGGCAGGAAAGAGATCCGGTTCTCTCAGACCGTTACAAGTTACATGAGCATCTTGATATCTCCTGGGGTGAACTACATTTGTCTCTCAGATTTTTGTTTGTTTTCTTCTTTATCTTCCTGAAAAATATGATTTGAAGACTTGAGAGATGCTTTTGTGTTTCTGGGACAAGAGACTTTCAGAGACAAAAAGAGGTGGGGGTAGAAGCCTCAGGGCATTTTTTTGGTGGTGTGGCTACACACAAGGTTATCTGGTTTAAACCACAACCAAAAGAGAAGAGGACCATAGTGTGGAGAAATACTCTCCATAAAGGTCACAGGAGTTCTCAGTCAGCCTGCTCAGCTGTCTCTAAGAGACTCCAAGGGGGAAAGTACCAAACGTCTGGTTCAAGAAAGTTCTTGTAGCATTCCTTTGTGAGCAAAAGGGTTTGTGGACTCAAGGACAACTTTTGTCTCATTTCTGAGCATCACCATCCTTAAAGGCCTCATTACATGACTGAGCAAAATGAGGGCAAGCTAGAGTATCTGGCTTGAAAAGGAGAACACAGGTGACTTGTTGAGGACACAAGCACAGATTTTCCTCACAGTGCCATTTGGTTATAAAGCATCTGACAAGTAGGCCATCATACCTTCCCTTCGACTCCTGCTTTGAGGCATTCAGAAGGTGACCCTGCATTCTTTCTGAGTCTTTCTTATATTTAGTTCTCTGATCACTCTTAACAAAAGTTTACACTTGTCTCCTCAAATCATTCCTATAGACTTATATTTAATTTAATTTAAGCTTATCAACAGTATATGAAATGTCCCTTTGTTATATTTTGTGTCAGGTGGAATGGGGTGGCAAATAAAGAACAAGGTGCTGAGATGATTTTAGGGAACTGCAGTCAAGTAGGACTTCTATACATTACTAGATGGAAAATATTATCACTGGAAAAAATCACTACTAGAATTCCTCTTTGGAAACAGTGTTCGTTTAGGACAGCTTGTACTATCATAAATGCTAGAAGGCTGAATGAGATCAATGTGTGCATAAGATGGTTCTGTATGAAAATGAGGTGAAATCCTGCTTACACAAACACAGGAAAAGAAAGAGCAGATCCGAGCCTGTCAGATTACAAAGTCTGGATTACAATGGAATCTGTACCTAATGACCCTTAAATCTTCCGTGGAGGCTTTAAACCACAGAATCCTTGTTGTGAAGTGTCTTGTTTGTCTTTTGTGGAAATTGGTGAGGAAACAAGCTTACACCCAAGAGAGCACAGAGCAGAACAAGCAAAGATACAGGAGCAAAGACTTAGTGGACCACCAGGAAATTATTCCCAGAAATTACAGAACTCATGGGAAGCTGGACCCTCACAAACTAGAAAAGCAGCATTTTGTCCATGCTTATTTGAGTTCCTAAAGGCACAGAGTTCCTATATAAATATCATAATCATAGGAAGCACCAAATGGGTGCACCAAATGGCCAAATGTGGAACTGCTTGGGCCTCCTCTGCAGATAAGGAAACTAAGCCAAGGACAGGATGGGACTGAAGCATCTCTGGGCATCAATGCAGAGTCATTCAGACTTGAGATAAAAACCATTTGCTTGTCCTTCCAATCAATTAACAAGGATTCACCGGGGCTCCATAATGTACCAAGTATTGAAAGAGCTGCAAGAAAAGTACTGTGTAAGAGATGGTCTCTGGCTCCCAAGACCAGGAGCCTCAGCCTCTGATAATAATGACTCACAGTTAGCTGGAAAATGGAGGCTAATGGGCCACATGATGGATTCCAGACATTGCTCTGGGCATTTTCCATACATAATTACATCGCTCAGTTGCAGAGCACTTGCCTGGCATATGCAGGGCCCTGGGTTTGATCCCCAGCACTGGAAAAAAGTAAAGTGAATATTTTTATGCTCATTTTACAAATAAAGAAACCAGGCCCCATTGAGTAGAACCTCTAGGAGGCAGAGAGTCATGAAAGGACATATCCAGAATGTGACTCCTTCTGTCCTACTCCAAATACCTTCACTGGAAATGGTCTCTGTGGCTGAGATAAAGTTGCCAAAACATAGGTTCTAAGATATATAACATAAACCACTGACATTGCAGGAGGCCACGAGACAGGGGAGAATGGGAGCTTCAGTGGTGAGGAAAAGCTGTGGTGACACAGAGGAAGTAAGAGTGATCTGAGCACCAAGCCTACTATGCATGGTGGACAGATGAAGGAGCACTGAGGAGTGGTACAGGGTGGAACACAGGGCCAGGAATGGGCACCTGTAGAACGGAGGAAAGTGAAGAGTTGGATTGCCCATCTAGGGGACTTTAGACTCAAGAGGCCTTGCAGGCCTCCTAGTGGGGACCCCAGCTCCAGAGACCAAATCACAAACTACAATATCTGCAGTTCTCATCCACCCAGCTCTGCCACCATTTTTTCTGGGACTCTAGGTACATTTGTCTTAGTCTGTTTCCTGAAGATAAAATTAGTGGGTTGGGTGAAATAAGCACTGTAGTTTCTTCAAGGTTTTTTTTTTTTAAGACTTAGGTTGTGTAATTTAAATTTCCCAGTACACTCATACTGATATCCAATGATCAGGAGAAAACTTCAAGCTTGTGAAATACCTTAAAAGGTTATGCCCAGATTGTCTCTGATCTGACGAGCCTAGCAGAAGATGGTCATTTATGTCACAGGACAAGGGTAGCAGACTGATATTATCCTCCCAGTCTCTTTCTTTTCCAAGGTCTTGGGAGGATGAGACCAAGGCTGGTGTTGTCATGTCCTCCAGCCTCAGTTATGTTGCTTTCTTTACATGAGCTGGTGAGTGGTAGTGCTACCAGAAGCAGACACCAGGGGAGAGGAGAAAGGCTGGCGTGGGTTGGGGACTTTCATGACACAGTTTTATCATCTGTTATTTCCCAATTTTATTTGTTGGTCTTATTTTAAATCTCAAATGAAATTTAGGAAAAAATATTACCTTTTAAAATGATAAAAATGGTCAAGATGTCTGTTCACAAGTTAACTCTTAATTTAGAATTCACAAAATGCACGTGATAGAAGAAGAAAGAGAAAATAGTCTCAAAAGAGTAAGAGCTACTCTAACAACTTGTTGGATCAGCTCCTAGACTGCTGTCTCTGGTGTAGACATGGAAACCCTGGACCAATCATAATCTATCACACACGCACACGCACACACACACACACACACACACACACACACACCCCACACCCGCGTTATCTGCCATTCAGAGTAGACCAATTCACAGGGCACCCCCAGCCACAGCGGGGATTCCATCTCTCATGCTTTATACAAAGTCAGGAATCTTTTTAGAATTGTCTGCCCACCCCTAACTTTTTTATCAAGACCATGTAACTATTGAAGTTGATGTCTGCCAGGTTTCAATCGTGCTCCGTTTGGGGAAGAGACTCTATAATCAAAGGATTCACAAAGTTAGTTAACTGAGATTCTTTGGGATGACTTGATGCATGGAAAGTCTAGGAAAAAGGCGAATCTTTTCAAATCCAGAAGGAAACAATAGGCTGGAGGCCCACTTGGATCTTTTGCAGTGAGAATTCAGTCTGTATTTTAGTCGGTTTTATAAGCATCTTGTGTCTGCAGTTGTATTATTCCTTTGTTACCTACCCATTCTTTCCTTACAATTTTCCCCCAACAAATCCCTTACAGATTTAACAATAAGCAGACTTATTCCCCAGTCATCCCTATAAGTTACCCTTATACATTAATTAATACCTGTTCGGAAGCACAGTGCCATTAATTAGACCCCTAGTGCTTTAGTTGACCCCCACTGTGTATCACGCTAATGTAACTCTCTCCAAGCTCATGAGTCTCTTGGCCTTCCCAAGAAGTCCATCTTTAGAACTCAGCCATGTTTCTACTCCTGGAGCAAGCTCTAACTTGTGAGATTCTCCATGCCTTCTTCCTTATCCATAAAATAGGAGTGATGTGAGCACCTACAACAGTGTGAGAGATGGCATATGTAGGGCTGGTGATGTAGGTGGTAAAATAATTCACCAAGGCAAGAATAAGAGTAAAGATAGGAGTTTGTTCAGGCCAGAGTATACTGTCAAGAGGGAAAATGGACAAGTTTCTCAGAGTGGAATCTCATAGTCCAGGTGAGGCATGGAAAGAGTTTTGATGGCAAATGTAATAGCTCAAGAACATCTTTCTCTGGATCACCTTGTGCCTTGTAGATCTTCCAGGAGCACCTGTATTGTATCTAAAGTTTTGTTTAAAGTTGCAATTTGAAAAGACCATTTCCTCTATCTCACAGAAGGCCTTTTTAGCTTTAGATAAGAAGATCTATATATGTGAACTTTTCAAGAGATGGGTCAGGGCTCATTGGGAGGGACGAATGGGTTTGACATCAAAGATTTGGTTTTATCCTGTGTAGTTTTGGTTAGTTTACTATATTGTCTCTGTAGGAGCTGGGCAGGATGGCTTCAACTAAGGAGTTCTGTTGCTGAGTGTTTTAACCTTTGTTGCGAATGGCCAACTCACAGGATTACTGTGAGCATTAAATACATCAGTACACAAGACGCACTAACACAAACATCTGGCCTACTGTAAGCATTCAATCATTGCCTACTATTATCTTACTGAATTACATGTCTCATTTCCTGGGGCAAGAGATCTTTTTCACTATATTCCAAAATGGCGCTCCTAGTTCAAAGGGATTTGGCAAACTGGCTGCTGGAGAGAAAGCTATAAAATCTGGTGTTCTGATTTTAAGCCTGGGTGAGCCTAATTTTAAATATGATAATGATTGAGAGGAAAAGCTACAAGCTTTTCTTGCAGTTCAGGTCTGATGGGTTCAACATAGTTATTTGCATGGAAGAATAATAATAGCCCTATGTGTTTATTTTTAAAAAGAAGAGCCAATATCTTCCTCCTTTTGTTGCATGAGAATGTTGTGGGGGAATTTATTTGTTTAAAAAAGAACAGCAGATTTCTTCTGCTTAGAGTCTCTTGAGAATGGTGTGGGATGATGGCAAGAGTATGTGGAAGCTTTATGTGTTTTTTTTTTTTTTACCCAAAATGAATACAGGACATATTAGAAATTTAAGCAGAGAAGTAGGACAGAGATGTTGACATAGAAGAGGCAAAAAAAGTAATAATGATGATCATTTCAGACATGCGGTAGTTGATGTGAAAATAAAGCATTTTAATAGAACAATGTTTAGGAATATTGGAATCTGAAAGCCAATTGCAGTGAGTGCAGATGGGGATGAGAAAACAGGTTTGGAAGTCTTCAGTGGTCTCAAGTTGATCTCCAAACCCATGCAGGTGAATGTCTCCCTGCGAAGAGGATGTAGAAACAGAACACAGGACTCAAGTCTTCTCATTGCTGTGTGGGATGTTTTAAAGCTCACGGCTCTTCTGAGATTGCCCTTTGATTTTTTTTTTTTTCAGAATCAAGACAGTGGGGATTGTATTCTGGGCTGCTCTTAGGGGGCATTGTGGGTGTCATCCTAATTCTCGAAGTGGTAATACTCCTGTGGAGAAGAAGAGGTAGGTGGCTGACAACAAAGAGTTTCTTACTAGACTCTGTGGTAAGCAGAGGACCGCTAGTCACACGCACAGACTTGTTCTCACTGCTGTAACTTTCTGCGCGGGGTCACCTTTGAAAAGCACTTAATAAGCACATTCTGGAAACTTGCTCAACTCAGTTTGATGCAATGTGTCTTCACCCTCTGCATTAGGGCATGGGGATAAACAGAGAAATGAGCCACATGTTTCTTTTATGTTATGTTTTTGGTTTTGTTGTTTTTTGTTTGTTTGTTTGTGTTTTTGTTTTTTGGGTACCAGGGATCAAACTTGGGTCCTTGTGCTTGTGAGGCAGGCACCGGAACCAAGCCACATGTTTCTAATGTGGGAGACGTTATGCAGATAATTTCTGCTCAGCACTGCAGGAAAGATATGTACAGGATGCTAAAGCGGATCCTGAAAAGAGGCTTAGTGTTGAGAGGGAAAACTCTTGGATTGCCAACAAAATGCCTTCCACAATAAACTGAAAGCAGTAAGGCTCAGCTATTCACCTACAGTTTAGGTGTTCAAATGTCCTAAATTTTCCTCCAAATTTTCCTGATTCAGTATCACAGGCCAGTGTGCTCCCTTTGGCCACACTATTCTCAACCCATACAGGAGTCAGAATATCCTGCCCTGACAGATGCTCTGCCTGGCTTTTCCGTGGCGAGGGAATGTTCCTATCACCAAACTGATGGCTGATCTCATTCTCAAGTAGATCAGTGTGAACCACGTATTAGAAAATCCCTTACCTCAGCACTGTGATGTTAGTTTTGCTTACATAAGAAAATGTAGATCACAGCACAGTTGCCTTTTGTCTCATTTCCTCCATCTAAGAGTTTACCGAGGAGGAGATGGGGGAGGACTGGGTGATTCAGAGAGAAATACTGTCTCAACTCTAAAGCAATGGGGGTGGGGCGACCACACTGGGCTTCTATTATAGGAAAACAATGAGATGCCGGAGATGATACACAGCTGAGGTTAATTCCTCTACTTTAGCCTAGTTAGGAACAGCACAAGGATCCTAACCTATATTCTTTCTGCTAAGCACATGGTTGGTTAATCTTGAGCGGAGCAGTGTTCCCTATCCACCCACAGTTCCGTAGCATAGCAACCCCCATCACACATACCCAGCCTCATCTCTAGCCACCACTGATTCTTGGGAAGCCAGTGTCACACACCTCAAACCTATGGTAAAATCTGCATTGAGTTGCTATACCCTTCACAAAACATTGTTCAGAAGTCTGTTGGCAACTTCCAGTGATATCATCTCCAGAAGCCAGCCTCACTCTGAATATCTTCAAATTGGCTCCAGCAATTGGAAACCCAGAAATACTTACTGATTAAGAAGATGGGCTTTGGGCTGGGCATGGTGGCACATGCCTTTAGTCTCAGCTACTTGGAAGGCTGAGACAGGATTGCTTGAGCCCAAGAGTTCACGACCAATGTGGGCAATACAGAGAGACCCTATCTCAAAGCAAACAAATAGAAAAAAGAGTATAGACTTTGTCATTAGACAGACTTACATTTAAATGCAGACTTTGCCACAGATGAGCTATGCAGCCAAGCAAATGGACTCATCATTTATCTGCAAAATGGGGATACCACATATTACATTATATCATAGCATTGTTGTGGGGACTGGGAGGTCAGTACACAGAAAGCACATAACAAGGTGACTCCCACGATGATACATACATGCACGCAAACATACATACATACATAGACAAATCTATTGATGTAGGTGAGTTAAAATAGCAATGTTTAAGTCCCATAGCAAGGAGAGGGCTGCACTGGAAGAATGTACTTAAAGTCATGGTAACAGGACACTGCTACTCTTCAGATAAGAGCTGCAAAAGATATTCGTCTACATTCTCACTGTGGTAAGAAAAGAGACTCATAGCCAGGCATTGTGGCACATAATTGTAATCACAGCACTTGAGAGGCTGAAGCCAGAAGATCACAGTGAATTCTAGACCAGCTTGAGCTACATAGTGAGTTCAAGCCAGTTTTGAATACATAGCAAGAACCTGGCTCAAAAAGAGAGAAGGAAGGAGAAGGAGAAGGAGGGAGGAAAGGAGGGAGGGAGGGAAGGAAAGGAGACTCCTAAAGATGACTTGATTTGTCCAATGTCATTAGCATGACAGTCAGAATGAAGATGTCCTAATTCTAAGGCCACAACCTTTCCTTAGACTCTAAAGCCTTTTTACAACTTTAATTTTTTCAATGAGAATGAGTTACTCTTATAATTTAAAAAGGAAACTTTAAAAATGCCTAAAAATTGAAATGTTTTGCAATTTATTAGTTTACAGAGGCCCAAGGCCCAGAGTGAGATTCCCAGTTGGAGAGTCATAGAGTAATGCTGCAGTTTTATTTTCCACACAGCCCCAGGTGGATCAGCCCTCCCATACCATCATCCCCACCCTAAACACATTCACACCGAGTCCTCCAGAAATAGGATGGTAAAAAAACGGTGAGTGAAGCAGTGTACTACCAGCTGGAGAATGCAAGAGAGATATAAATAATCAGTCCTGCTCTCAAAAAGCCTGGAGTCCTATTAAGAGACTGTATATGCACATAAAACAATGCAGTTTAAAATAATTGAACACAGGGTCAAGGATTTATCTCAGTGGTTCCACTGCCTGCCGTGCAAGCACAAGGTCCCAAGTTCTATCCCTGTACCAAAAAAAAAAAAAAAAAGTCTCTTGGGCTGGGATTTAGCTCAGTGGTTCTGCCACCTGCCCCACAACTGCAAGGTCCCAAGTTTGATCCCCAGTACCAAAATAATAATAATTGAACACACCAATAAGAATAACATCCAACATATATTGGGCATTTGCTATGTTCTAGGTACTGTTATTTACACTTTGCAAGCAATAACTCATTTAATTATCACAATATCCCTATGAAGCAGTTACTTCAAATTCTATTTCACAGGTAGGGAAACAGAGCTAGACAGGACAAATAACTAACCCAGTGTTTTGAGGAAGGTGGGTATGCAGTGGGGAATAAAGACCAGACAGATCTGCACAAGGAGTGCATGTGGGGCCCAGAGGGAGATAATCACTATGGTTTTTTTTCCCTAGGTAAAGCAAAACATTTTCAGCCAGCGATGGAAGAAAAAAGCCTTACTATCTATGCCCAAGTCCAGAAATCAGATGTAAGTTCTATTCTTTGCTTGTGACAGGCCTGTCTTGTTTCCCATAGGGTTCTTGACCAGTCACCCTGCACATCCGACATTCATGGGTTCACATGGGTTCTAGAGCAGATAAAATTATGGAATCAGAAGTCAAGAACAAGAGTTACTAAAGGTCACCATGCCAGTGTTATATTATTTAAAATTACAAGAAATACTCAGTAATCTTCTGGTCATCTGCTTGCTCATGGGGAAAATATGAGAAAGCTATAAACCCATGATATATGACTCTTTTCACCTCTGGTATTCTAGCATTATACAGCTCCACATTACTGTCCTCCAGTGTAGAGGGTACAGGTTTAAGGAGGAGGGGAAAGTTTGGAAAAGCCATTGTGTGACGTACAGGAAGCCTGATCTGAGTTTAGGCATTTGCAAAGTGCCAAAGCAACCAGGAAGGGAGGATCTTGAGAATTCTGGTTAGAGTGTGGTTGAGGTGGAAGATGACCTGAAGCCAGGAGATGGAAGAAAGAAAAACTATGGTATGGTGACCAATGGACTAAAGAGAGTGGTGGAAAAACTGCAAACATGATGGAGCGGAGGAACAGGTGTGCTGGAAGTAAGAGAGAGAGGCTAAAAGGATTGTGGCTAGATATGGAGATGTAGTTTTTCCAGACATGAAGTCAACTCTTGGTGGCCATAATTTGGCCATCCGAAGTAGAAGGAGCCAGTTCTGGATTAAAGAATATAAAACTAAAGACAGATGTGATTCATATTTTGGAAATTTCATCAGACACCAGTACATTGACTTCTGAAGATTAGGAAATAAATTTTTGGGAAAAGCTCTTATTTCTGTTCTCTTCTTTGGTCTAGAGGGTTTATAATCCAATGTGTAGCCCCCTGTATAAGAACAAACTTCCGGGCTTGGATTTAGCTCAGTGGTTCCACTGCCTGCCTTGCAAGCTCAAGGTCCCCTCGATCCCTGGTACCAAAAAAACAAACAAACAAACAAATTTCCATTTAAACAAAAATTAATTTGCCCTTGCATTATACATTTAGAAAAGGCTCACATTTACCAAAGTGTCTTCCCTATCTTGCTGCTAGCATTCCTTTTAGCACATAAGAAATCAGCACCCACTCAGTGAATTGTCTTTAGGTGCCCATCAGGGTAAAGCAAATCTTCCCATCTTGGTTTTTTTTTTTTTCAAGAGTTTGGTTATTCTTGTCCTTTTAAACTCTCATATGTATTTTAAAATCAGCTTGTCAAGTACTAAACAAAGAAACTTTTATCCTATTGGGATTGCATTGAGTCTATCAATCTATTTACAGAGAAATCACATCTTAATCAGTGTTGAGTCTTCTGATGTCACAGCCACCACTCAGATCAAGGAACAGAACACTGCCAACAACTCCAGGAGACTCCCGTGCCATAACTACTCTCTTCTTCCTCCCCAGAGATAACTGTTTACCTGACTTCTAGAAATATAGTTTAGTTTTATTTTATGTTATAAAAGTAGAATCCTTTATTATTTTTCTTCTTATGTCTGGTTATTTTTTTCTTAGTTTCACAGATTCATACATGTCTTTAAAAGAGATATGAATGTATTTATTTTCATTGCTTTATAGAACATCAATGTATGATTACACCAGATTTTTTTTATCCAGTTAACCATTGATGGGCATTTGGGTGATTTTCAGTTTAAGGCCATAATGCAAAGTACAGCTGTGAACATTCATATGTATATCTTCTGCATTCGAACACATGCATATCTGTGGATTTGAACACATATTTTTATTAGGCTTATACCTAGAAGGAGAATTGCTAACTGATAGAGTATGCCTATGCTCAAATTGAATGAATAAGACCAAATTTATCTTCACAGTGGGTGTACCAATTTCAATTTCTATAAATGAAGTCCAATTGCCACCCATAGTAGACAAGACTTGGTATTATCGGTCTTTTTAATTTCAGCCATATTGTTAGATGTGTCTCATTATGGTTTTATTTTGCATTTGACAAATCATTAAGAAAGTTAATCAGCTTTTCACATATTTATTGGCCACATTAAGATCCCTTTTCTTTTTTTTTCTGGTTCCAAGGATCGAACTCAGGACCTTGTGCTTGTGAGGCAGGCGGCAGAACCACTGAGCTAAATCCCTGGCCCTACAATCCTCTTTTTTAAAGTGCCTATTAAATCTCTTGCCAATTTACCTTTGAGTTTAGGCTTTCCAAATGGATTAGTATAAACGTATATATTTAGGATCTGAGCCTTTTGAATGTCTACATAGACGATAGGTGAGTTCCTGTTTTGGATATGAGCCTTTGCATCTGTAGCATCTGTGGCTTATCTTTGCAAGTTCTCAAAGATATCTATTTATAAAGAAAAGTTCTTAATTTTAGTGTAGAGCAACTTAGTAATCTTTTCTTTTATAGCTAGCACTTTTTGTGCCCCATTTGAGAAGTATTTCTCTTTTCCCAGAGAATGAAAACATTCTTCTATCATCTTCTAAAGCTTTATGGAATATCTTTCACATTTATATCTATTATATACCTGAACATGCTTTTTGGAGTTGGGTTTAGAGGGTTTTATTGTTTCCTATGTGGATAAGCTATTGACCACTTACCAAAGAAATTGTCCTTATCCCACTGTAGCACCGTCTTTACCAGAACTTGAGGTCTATATATATGTGTGGTTCTGTTTTGATAGTTTTTATTCGCTCCATAGACTTTTGCTTATACACACACCAAGGCCATACTGTCTTGCTTATAGATTTTTTGTATATTTTCACGTCTGATAAAATAAGGCTTCTCATTGGCTCTTTGCATTTTCATATATACTTCAAAATAAGCTTATGAAACCTCCCTTGCCAAATACTGTTGGAATTTTAATTAGGACTCCATAGATAACTTTGAGGAAAATATACATCTTTATTGTACTGAGTCATTAAATTCACAAAAGTTGATATTTCCTTTCCTTCCTGTAAATCTTCTTTGAAAGATTTCTGAAATCAAAGAAATATCTGATGTTTTCTGGTTAAAGGGACTTTATGTCCTTTATAATTTATTACTTGGCAATTGATATTTTGGAATACCATCATCAGTGCTACCTTTTTCAAACTTTTTAGTTTCTAATTCTTTATTATTACTATATAAAAACACAATTAATATTTGTATATTTGACTTGCATCTGTGACATTGCTAAGCCTATTTATGAGTTTAGTCATTTATCTATGGATGACTGGGATTTTCTCTGTACACAACTGAAACATCTGTAAAATCCAGTAGTTTTATTTCTTCATTTACAAATCACAGAACTCCTTTTTTCTCTTCCCCTAATTTTACTGACTGAGGTGTCCCACAATATGGTAAATGGAAATGATAACAGCAGTAATATTCTCGTAAAGTTCCAAACCTGAGAAGAAAGGTTTACATTTCTCACTATTAAGTATGATTTTTGTTGAAGGTTTTTTGTAGTTGCCCTTTTTTAAAACCAAGTGGGGAATACTGTTGGAAGCTGGGTGTATCTCAGTAATATAACTCTTGCTCACACGTATGAGGCCCTGGGTTCAATTCCAACCCTGAAAAAAATTTTTTTTCTAAGATTTCTATTACTGGTATCATGAACTGATGTTGAAGTCTATCAACACTGAATTCTGCATCTGTTAAGATAATCTTGTAATTGTTGTTTCTCATTTATCTACTGCTCAACCAAACTATACTGATTTATAAAAGTCAAGCCCACTTTGCACTCCTGAAATAGAACCAGTTCAGGCTGGTCCTTGAAAAAACATTTCTGCAGCTTGCTTCCTAATTCTATTCATTCTTTTCTACTTACGTTTCTGAGTAGACTTGACCTATAGTTCTCCTTTCTTGTAATGCCTTTGTGCAGTTTTCATTATGTTAAACTCACAAAGTTAAAGGGTGTGTTAGTTTCCCAGGGCTGCCATAACAAATTACACAAATGTGGTGGCTTATACTAGCAGAATTTATTCTCTAAGAGCTCTGGAGGCCACAAGTCCAAAGCAGGGTGACAAGTTTCCGAACATACCCTCTCTGAGAGAGTTCTTTTAGTCTTCAGAATCTGCTGCTCTGTAGCCGGGGTACTGCGATCTCTGCCTCCATCTTCATGGGACTTTCTTCCCCTGAGTCTCCACCTCCTCCTTCTCCATCTCTTAGATGGACATTCCTCACTGCACTCAGGATGCACCCCAATCCGGGGTGGCTTCATCCTGAAATTCTTACTTTAATTACATCTGCCAAACCTTTAGTTCCAAACAAAGTCACATTCTGAGACTCTGGACAGACATATCTTTTGGAGACCACAATTCAACCCACTGCATGGTTTTGTTCTGATTTTTTCTGTTTTGTGATTTTTCTAGAAATGTTTGGGTAAGATTGATTAACTTTTCTTAACTATTTGGCAGAATTACTGATGGTGGTCTCTGAGACTGGAGTTTCTTTGGTACAGGATTTTTAAAACTGTGTTTTTATTATTCCATTTTTTTCTCCATTACATTAGTAATCTTGTTTTGGGGGTTTCTTTTGTTTGTTTTTTGTTTTGTTTTTTACAGTTTTTTGAAACAGGGTCTCAGTATGTAGTTGAGACTGACCTGGAACTCACTATGTAGCCCAGACTGGTCTCGAACTCACAGCGATCCTCCTGCCTCCGCCTCCCAAGTACTGGGATTATAGGCATGTGCCACCATGCCTGGCTATGGTTTTCTGTTTTGTTAGTTGCTACCCTCAAAATTATAAAATACATTCCTGAATCACTGGCATTTATTATTTAGTTCATTTATACTTTATATTGCACTATAAATTTTTACTCTACTATAATTTACCCCGATTTATGTGCTATTTTTGGCCATTACTTTGATTTCACATATATTTTAAACATCTAAGACATAATTAGTACTGTTTTAGATATCAATGTTTACATATACTTAGTCATAGCCTTAAATTTCCTTTGTTTATATATACAATGTTTATATTCTATCATTATAAAGACTAAAATAATATATAAGCAATTATTCAGAAAAGAACCAGCCTTCTAACAGGATTCCAAGGTAATTCATAATCACAGAAACAGTGTGAGAAGCCCTGGGGTAGCTAGGCCCAAGCACTTATAAGAATAAGGAACAACACACTCTCTCAAGGCAATTCATCTCACACTTGAGCATCTTTTACTGTTAGACGTTTTCACTCTGTTGAAATAAAACACTTCCCCCAGTTGTAATTGATTTGAGAGCTTCAAACCAGAAAGCCTCTACTGACAATATCCTCTTTTACATGGCAATCCAACAAATATATAAGAGAAAGATCATGTCCCTTCCTCCAGTAAACTTTTCCAGTTCTTTAAATTTCTATTAGATTTTAATTTTCTATTAGATTTACTCACATTAAACACACTCACATTAAATCACCATCTGCTGTAGTTTCAACTCTTGCTGCATATCCAGAGAAAACAGGAACCGCATTAAACTAGACTATTGCCCCCAAAGTGTGTTGAGAGAGGATGTCCTTATCATAAGTTATACCCTTCTCATCTTACAGGGATACGGTTTCAATGCACCCCTATACTAGCTTGTCTTAATATTATAGGCTTTGGGGTGGGGATTTAGCTCAAAGGAACTGCACCTGCCTTGTAAGTGCAAGGTCCTGAGTTCAATACCCAGTACACACACACACACATACACACACACACGGCTTTAATTCATTCAAAGCAACGTCAACAAATATCAACTGAAAGGCTTTTTGTGTGCCCAGCACTTTTTTGAGGGAGAAGGTAAAGAAACATAGACTATTTATTTTTCTTTTCTTATGTCCCCATCCCTACCCCCAGTACTGATTACTGAACCTAGGAAGTGCTAAGCTACATCCCCAGACTTGTTTGTTTATTTATTTATTTATATTTTGAGACAGGGTGTCACTAAGTTGCCTAGGCTACCTACCAACTTGTGCTGCTCCTGCCTCAGCCTCCCAAGTAGCTGGGATTATGCCCAGCTACAGAGGCTATTTCTTAAGGAACTTACAGCCTGTGGAAATACTGCATAGATATGTGAGAATGTTTCAAACACAGCATTCAGGTGCCACGGTGTGTGAATTAGACTTTAAATACCTGAGAAATTTAGGTGAAGGATAGAAAATGAGGTAACCACAGACGACTAGTAATAGAAAGAATGTACTCTTTAAAAGCCCCTGGTGTCACCCTTGGCTTTGACACTGCATGCACATGCATAGTAGGAAAGTACTGAAATTTTTTGAGTTTGAGTGTCTTCATCGTCCAGTGTAAGTAATGACGATGTTTGACACGCAGTCCTTATGAGGCCAGTGGGGTGACATATGGGATAGCGGGGACGGTCTTGTGTGTGGCTGAACAGATGCTGATGACCCAGGTGCATTAGAGAGCCAGGCTGAGTTCTCCTAAGAGCCTGGCCCTTTCCGTGGCCCCTGTAAGGGCCACAGCAATTCATTGGGAGGCGGATCTTTAAAACAGTTGGGAAGCACTAACAATGAATGAGGCTGTCTTGGGAGGATGTGAGCTCTGTGATGTCACATGCGAAGTCCAAGCAAAGCCTGCAGGCCTGAGTTCTGGGGCAGTTGAGGGAGAACTCCTCAAGATTAAACCAACTAACTCCAAGGAGCTCTTAAACTTGCACGTCTTGAATCTGTGTTTCTCCATGGGGAGAACTGGATGGGAAGGAGCCATCTGCTCAGCTAATGTGCTTTCTTTGCTTCTCTTTCAGTCTCTTCAGAAGAACCCTGACCCCCAGCCAGCTCAGGAGCCCTGTACTACCATTTATGTGTCTGCCACAGAGCCTGTTCCAGAGGTGAGGCATCTGTGCCCCTCACTGTAGAGGGGGATCCTTTAGAGGAGTAGGTGGAGGAGCAGAAGGCGAGGGAGAATTTTTTTTTTTCTTTTCAGTGGAGATGAAATAAAACCAATTGTTGAGTTCTGGGTTGAGACATTATCCCACAGCAAGCAGGCAGTAAGGAGTAGCTGGGGCCCCGGTTTTGGGTTTCCCTGAAGCCCCACATCCCGTTCCCATGGAATGAGCTGTCCCTGCTAGCTGGTGTTTCTCTGATAGTCCAAGGACCGTGTCGGAATCAGCTGGCACTGATGAAAAAGAAAGATTCCTGGGGCCTCCCACCCAGAACTCTGTTAAATTACAACAGACATGGAGAGTTCCCAGGGACTTACATATTAAAAAACAACACAGGGGCCAGGGATTTACTTCAGTGGTTCCACAGCCTGCTTTGCAGACACAAGGTCCCAAGTTCAATCTCCGGAACAAAAAAAACAACAACAAAAAATAGGCCGGGTGATTCTGGTGCACATTTCCTTGTGAGGACTGCGGTTGGAATGCAGGAGTTCTCAAAGCCAGGTTCCCAGAGAGCTTTGTAAAGATGCTCATGCCCTGTGTTGAAATACCCCACTGTCCCCCATTCCTATGTACCATTATTATGTGTTAACAAAAATTAATTTAAAACATACTTCTATAATCATAAAAGATGCTCATGTCTAGACATTTACAGCTGCATTCAGTCAGAAAATGTAGAGGCGGAGCTCAGCAGAGGCAATAAAGCTGGAGGAGAACGTGGTCTTCCCTGAGAGCAAGGCCTCTTCAAACCCAATGCGAGATCCACATAGGTTGCGCTTACCTCTAGCGGGGGTTCTCCCCTCACGAAATGAACTGAAATAGCTCTAGGTGAACTCTATTAAGCAAGGAATTCTAGGAGACAGCCCAGGATCACAGAGGGAAAGGGCTACAAAAATGCCTACATTCATCCTTCTTCAAAGTTCCTCCTGCATGTAACCCACATATGCCTAAACCAGTGTTTCCGTTTCAAAACTCAAGGGTGCTCATCAATGAGCTACATGCCCTTTTCTTCTTTTGAGACACAGTCTGTCTAATTTGCCTAGGCAGGACTCAGACTTTAATCTTCCTGTCTCCGCCTCCCTCAGTGTTAGGATTACAGGCATGCTGGGCTTAGACCTTCATCCTGACATCTATTCTCAGAGCACATTATCCTGTCCAAGAGGGAAGTAAAAACATAAATCTGACTTCAAAAACTTTTAAAAATAACATCGATTTTTAAATAAAGTTCCCTTGAAGAAGGAAAACGATAATGTTATATTTACACTTTACATCAAAACCTCCTAAATTGCGTGTTCCCTTCTCTGTTTCTCTGATTCTCCTCGGGCTATGGGAGGTCTTCGGCCACCATTCTCTTCTCCTTTCCCTCCCTTTCTTCTGCTGGTCCCACTACTCTCCTCTCTCCTTGGGTCTTGCTAGCCTTTTTTAAAGCTCAATTGTTTAATTATTGGCTTTTCACCTATCAGTGGTTTTCCTTACAAGGGGAGGAAAGGGAAGGGAAGAGGGCAGAGAGATAGAGAGGTAGCGTACTGAGTAAAGGTCTTCAGACCACTGGCTTGGGTCTCTGGGCTCCTGGATAGCACACTAATGCTGGTGAGGGAGGTGTAGCCCTGTTTGCAGACAAGGGGAAGTCTGGGCCCCTGAGTGCTGCCTCTAGCAAGTCCCTGTTTGTGACAGACCCTCAGCGAGTTGTCGTGCTACATAATCAGAGACCCCTTCCTTTCCCTCAGCAATGCACATTCACAGCCTGTAAAGCCAGTGCCCTATCCTTTCGCTCATGACTTCTGCTTTGCCCACAGGAACCAAGTTCCATCACAGTCTATGCCAGTGTAACACTGCCAGAGAGCTGACACCCAAACCCAGTGAAGGAACTTTCTGAAGGACGATGGGAAAACCAAACTGAACCTTGAACTTGGTCCCATTCCTCAAGTTCTCTGTGATGGACACTCCACACAATCTGAACCTTCTTTTGGATCCCCTGTCTGTTGATGTATCTTCTTGCATACCCAGAAATGGACATGGCAGGGATGGTCCCCAAGTGTTTAGCCTGCACGGCAGCTGGCACACTCACAGAACAGAGAGCTCCTCGACACAGCTCCCCATCTTTGTGATGTAGCAGACAAAATGGATGACGTGAGACCAGACTTCCAGACATCTCCTGTGAGACCAGACTTCTGGACGTCTCGCTCTTTGCTAGGAAGCACAATAAAAGCCAAAGACAAGAAGCCAGAACATCTAGCATTTCTCACAGACAGCCAACCACCAGCCACAAACTCTGGGAAAGTTTACATTTTGGCTGCCTGTACTTTATTCTGAGAGCTGGTCTTCATCACCCGCAGACCTGAGTGAGGCTTTGTGCCTCAGTTTCTCTCTCTATGGATGAAGAACGAAGGACGGGTGGAGTTTTTATTTTATGTAAAACACTCAAATAATTCTATAAAATTATATGATGAAAATTTTATTTGCCAAAAGCAAGTAAAAAATAGTAAACTGAAAGAATGATTCTTTTAAGGTCTCTGATCTTTGCACAGTACAATGAAAACCATCTAAGATTCTTAAAAATATGGTTCTGCATAAATATCATTCAATCTTAAAAGAAAGTGGCCAGTTTGGTTATACAGAGTAACCTGGGATACTAAAAGGTACTTGTCCCTGGGGAGATTTTTCACTCTCGAGATGACCTTTAAATCTTAGTTCTCCATTTACTCCCTCGAGTGACGGATGAGCCTAGAGTCAGACACTGTCCATATTATCTCCTACTCCCTGGATGCCTCTCCTTAGATTAAATTTATCTTCAAGAAAATAATTAAATTATTTTGATCCAACAGCTTCAAATGATTGTATGTTTCATTCACTTAGATTACAGGCCACACACATAGAAAGAACCTCTTTTTTTTTTTTTTTTTTTTAATTGG